CAGGATCCAGTCATTCGATGACCGTCACCCTCTCAGGAACCGCGCAAGCGAGTGCCCTAACGTTGGCTCGCATAAGTACAAGCTAAGGAAGAGAGTCAGGCGCCAACCAGAAACCCAGATGTCCCGCCTACAGCGTGCTTTTCGACAGCTCCCGGAGTCATCTGAAGAAGCAGAAGGGCTGGCAGGCCCAGTGTACACATCAAGTCTTGGAACGAAAGAAGAGGAAGTCAAAACACACTACAACTGGGCTAGCACGATCTCAACCTCTGACATATGCGCCTACTCTGATGGGTCATCTGAAGGTCACGGACGATCCTCGTGGGGATATGTCCTCCAACGCTGAGGATGTTGGAAAATATACTCTGTATGATATTATATGTAAAATATCAAGTCTTCTTTACTTCATCATATTTATCCAACTATGGGAACATTGGACTTATATATACATCTAAGGGAAAAATTCCCGCTAGTCTCATGTGCCTGTCAAACCTAGTGATGACCAGCCACCTCTCATCTACCTTGATGAGCCAAGGTACACTGTAGTAATTAAATATCCAAACGTATATGCGACAGTAGGCACGATTAGCGCACTCAGGACATGTGTAGAGAGAGTCGATCTTGTCGGGAACCTGAGACGAAACAGATAGTGGTTGAGTCCTAAATTCGAGAGTCAGAATTTCCAATAGAGGACAAACATTAGCACAAGGTCACGGTCGTCTACATAGCGGTGAAGTTTATCATGCAGAAATTGCAGGTGCAGCAGTAGCACTTCGGGAAGCTATACGCGCTTGAAAGAACGGTGAGAGAATCTTCGTTCTTCTTGACAACCAGGCAGCTGTACTTGCGCTTCGGATGGGGGAATCATCACCGTCGCTGCAGATAACCCGCGTCTTTCACAAGTTTGCTTCAGAAGCGAACTTGAAAGTGAGGCGGGTGCCTGGACACTCCAATATTAGTGGCAAAGAAGAAGCGGATGCAGAAGCCCGAGCCGGTCTTCAGCTGCTGCTAGATAGACAGACGCAGCCAGTGCAGACAACTCAGGCATACATTCGCCGTTTGATGCACAATCGCCGACAGAAACTGGTGGAAGACTGGAGGAATAAGTCGGGTCCGGACAGATATCGAGACCTGGACTTACAGATGCGACGTCGGAAACCACCAGAACTAGGTCTTTCTCGACGATTACTCCATAAGCTCCTGGCAGCAAGATCAGGACATGGAGACTTTGCGGACTATCATCGCCGCCTGAACCAGGAAGACGCGAAACTGGAATGCATCTGTGGACAAAGGACAACGCCAACTCATTTTGTCCGATGCCGGAAGAATGCTGCTATAATGCGCAGGTTGAGAAAATGCATGACCGTGGAGAACTATACCAACCAACTCCTTGGACCGGAAGGTCTCGAGAAGTTCATAGAATTTGCAAGGAATACACGCTGCTTTGGGAGCATGGATGCAGACCTGCCCTCAGCTTGATGCGAGGGTCGGAGTGATTATTTTGTCAGGACGAGAGAAATGACTGAGGGGGGCATAGGATGAGAAATACTAGCACCGCTCATACATGTTAATTTGCTTTGTTTTAGTTGGTTTTGTTTGTTATTTCTTTTGGTTTTTGGTTGTTTGTAATCAGAGTCACATAGTGACAATGTGGTGGGAACGAGTAGGGCATAGCTATTTAGGATAAACCTTACCGAGCCCACAAGTCCCGTGCCACAAGGCGCTGGGCTGGCGCCTTGGACTGTGAAATAAATCAACTGTACACAGAACTACATGTAATGCCGCTATGTAGAGGCTCGATATCCTTCATGCGCCATAATTCCATACTGCCATAATAACTACGTATGCACCAGCTACTAGATCTACCATGCTATATAGCTGAGCATAACAGGATCGTCTCAAAAAATCCTGAGTCACCCAGACATGCCTCCATCATCCATGAACTTTTATCCGCGCCAATTATCGTCTTTGCTGTCTCCTTCCCAAGCGGAGAAGGTGTCCAAACTATCTAGGCTCTACTTGGCAGACAAGCCTATACGATGTACCACCACACCATCCAACCATGGCGGCGTTTAAAGTGTCGCCTGCACTTTCGCAACCGAAACCTTGGCACGCACAAAGATCAAACTGTAAAAACTCCTAGCCAAAATTCAAAATTTCACGCCCGTCGAGACTATTTCCATCTTCTGCATCATCTTATCAACCTGTCATAACCCCTCTCACGTCCATCCCAAAGAACTGTCTCCCAGATTTGTGCGCCACGCTTTGCTTCCTCCCATGGGTGTAAGTATCGGCGTGGGCGTATATTTGGTGGTCAACTGAGGCCAGAGAAGGTCGGAGAGAAGTGTGATCATAGGGATGAGGATGTACTAGGTCTTACTTGTAGACTTGATGAGACGAAGATAGGAGACAAACTCGTTGGGAGCGGAAAAACGACGTGGTGGAGTAATTTTAAATTTTGCCTCGTGGGCCAACTTCTTTGATATTGCGAAATTTGACTGAACTTGGCTCTGGGAGAAGATTTCACTCCCAGGTTCGTAGATGACGCCGCGTACAGGTGTTTAGTCTTGCCCTCCAACTCTCTTCTCTATCTCTCTACACTATATGGCTATTCATCTCGGACAAAGATCAATGATCTTTCGAGAAATATATGAGGCAAAGAGCACTGTACAAGGTGTGGCCTGGGTCATAGAGCTCAATGTGCTAGATAGTCATGACTCAAGCAGTACAATTAAGTCATCACACCTCTACGACTACAGAATCCCCTTTATTCCATCCATACCGAAAATCCCAGCGAGCTGACTCAGCTATAAATTCCAGTAGTCAGACTGGATCATAAGTCTACCATATTTACCGATACTTTGCACATGGAGAAATAACTACAATGATTTTCGAGGTCAGATTCTAACCGCGTAATTGAGACTTATTGACGTGCCAATTTTCATACCATCTCCGATCGTTCGTCGCAATCGCACCTAAAGGCCCCTGTAGCGCAACAATCTATACTCTCAAATTGTAACAAACATGCCATCAGTTCTAGAACTGGTCGCGTGGCCTGTCGCTCTTTGTCACACGAGTTTGGAAATTCAAGGAACCCCTTAGCGCGGATTATTATTTTGGAAAGGTGGAATGCATTTGTGCGGCCCAGATCAGAACCTGCTTATTAGACTTTCAATGCATGGTGCCTTGCATATACTCAGGCGTATGACGTGAAAGGCTTGCATGGGTTAGCGGGAATATGACCAAGGGCGGCACGCTCGCTTAAATGAGTATCCACGTCTTCCTGACAGAAAGAGTAGGTTTAGTGGATACCCGAGTTGCGCCGAAGCAATGGACCGCTAGACTTCTTAAATATTTGGACACATCCAAGTGCATGGAGGCACATAAAGGGAGTTGAACTAGGATATCTAAATTGGGAAACCAAAGAGTATTATGAAGATTGTATTTCAGAAAGGAGTTTGGGGGAATCAAATTATGTAAATAATGTGTCATAGCTAGGTAGCTGAATACACTATGATTAAAAAAAAAATGGACCGCTAGTAGTCTCGAGCTGTCAAAGCTGGTGCACTGGTTAGGGCGCCCCACACGTAATAACGCACGGACATCGGACCCTAGAGGTACGAGAGCAACATCGACGTTTAGCGGTAGAGTTGTTGGCTTTTGCAGTAGTGGTGCAGAACATTAAGTATATGAGTTTCTCGCTCCTAACAGCGCGAACTCCAATCTATGCCGAATAACGTCTAAGGGTACAGGATAGTACATCCTGGTATGTGAAACTACGCCTATCATTGATTCAGTCTCTGGCTTTAGCTGGCCTTCAAGTACACGCCTATGAAACATTGAACATACATAAACCAAATCGTATCTCAGCGCACATATCTGGATACATTTACGCTTAGAGTAGATGTGAAAAATTGCAGGAAATATTAAAGAGATAAATCCGTAGACCTGTAAAACTTCGTAGGAGTGAAAATTCGATACTTGGAATGCCGCTTCCCACAGAAGAGAAAAGATCTCCAATTCGGATTTGGTACAAATCGGATACATTTCTCACAGAATTGGTGTATGTGATAAACGAGACAATTTTGGAGACACAAAGATTTAAAGCACGCTCTCTGAGGATACTTACTGGCGAGAGACGAGCATATTGGTAAAGAAAGGTTCATCATTGTGAAGATGACGGGTTAAATCCAGGTTATGAGTTCCTTCCTGGCCAGATTTATTAGACAGACATGGAAATTTTTTGTCTACCATTGGAGACAGAACGTCGAACGTTTTATTGAAGCCGTTTACTGATTCTGTTCGTCGCTCTGAGTCTGATGTCCACGTAATGATTCGCATCATCATTACTACAAATAGGAGTGCTGTGGGTCGGGAATGGCTTTCAATACCTCAATGACTTGGAGCGTTCTCATGAGTTGTGAGTCCTGACAGGCAGCATTTATTCAATAAATGTATCTATTTAATGCGCCGCATGATTGCAACTTTGAGAGCGCTTCCGGACGTTTTGAAAAGGTTTCATCACGGAACTCGTATTCCCTGATTTTGATGAATCCATCGGTAGGTCATTCATCCTTGCACTTCTGTGTAAATTTGCCCGCCCCGCTATATGTACAAAAGCTCCCCAGTCCCTTACAAAATGCTGGAGCGTTAATTAAACTATTTAGTGCTACCAGTGATACGGAGTCCTTAACCTAATCCGATATTTCCTAAAAAGTGCACGACTTTTGAGGTAGTTAAAAATCGGGCCAGACGCCTACCTCTAATATTATAAGACGCCATTCCGGATTACAAAAGAAAGTTTGACACAGCGTAAAACCGAAGTAAAATTTAGACAAAAACTTCCATGACACCGACCCTGCGAAGTGTACATGACTAGTTGCGAAAGTTTATTGGTGTTCTGAATTTCGTAAAAAGAATTCATATATCCTTCCGGTGAGGTATTCGAGGAGCATTTAAAATGAGAAGGATTGTATATGTTAGGTACCATTAATTTGTCGTTTCTACCGGGCCGCAACGTGGAGGGGCTGAGAGGCGTCTAAGTTGAAATTCTCTGCGTATTTCTTGGCCCATTGCCTTGTAAGAATTGAAGCTTATAGATGTCAAATTTTTAATCGGAGTGGTGAGACAAGTCAACATACCTTTTAAGAATCTCTTGCTGGCGTATTTTTTGAAAAATGCTTCGTGGGTTACCGGTCGTGCGAGATAGTCGACCATGAGTAGGAACACGGGATGAACTTCAACTTCGCCATAGCCGGCGTAGTGAGAGAGAGTGGGAGTCTGCATCAAAGTGAGTATGATAGCTTTGGTTAGGAAGTGTTTTATTTACCCAATCTCCCCTCCCTAGGATCATCCGTGCCATGTACATAGACGCAGCAGCGATGCGACTGGGAAGATAGTGCATGAAGCGGTGATCGAGAAGACTGATTTCCATGAGGTACTTCGCTAATGTTCGGGTTTGTATGTCGTAGTCGTCTGCTTTCGATATACGTCGCAAAAAATTCATGGGATTGGGATAACTCAAATCGTAATTGAGGGCAGTAAGTACATATCTCTCGGCGCTCAATATTTCTGCTTCTGTAAATCCGTCATCGGCAACATGACGAAAATTCGCCACATGTGGTGAAAGGACTTCCTCGTACTTCGAGGCGATAAACATGGCAGTTACACCGACTAGTTGAAGGCGATCTAGTTGAACAGCTTTTGAAGAGAGAAATCGGTCGATTATATTCACCGCAAGGAATAAAGTTTCTGGCAATAGGTGAAAACGTGTGTGCACTTCTATTAGCCAGTCAACTAAAATACCGCGCATTTTCCATTCCAAGTCTTCTTGATAATCCATGTATTGGGCGTTAGGTTGGGTATTTATTTCAAGCTTCCGAAGATATTCGAAAATCTCGACTACATATTCGGCTACCATTAGCGGGTCGTCGACATCCTCTTGGTCCAAATCTTCGATTATTTCTGGTGCTTCGAGTTCCGCATATCGGTCGTCTTCTTCATCTATCTCAAGTTTATCTTCTTCAACTTCATCCACATGTAATCGCTGCTCGATTTCGATGTGTATCCTTTTACGTGATGGTAGTTGAACCTCTGTGGATGTATCGTCTTTCGTAGATGTAGATCCTGTCTTTCTTTTGCCAGCAGGAGCTCCTGATCGTGTTCGCTTTGACTCAGATTTTTTGTTCGCATCCTTGGTTCCTAGGGCTGACCTTGAGGTGGGACCGCGTGTTGGGATTTTCTGAATCCCGTTTGGCTGGGCAGCTTTTGATACTAGACCACCCTTGCCCGCATTCTTTTTACCTTCAGTTATGTCGCCTTTAGTGACGTTACTGACGTCTCCTAATGCTGGTCGTTTGCGGGTAATGTGAGCGTTCGTAGTTGTCTTGGTGGTTTGTAATGACTTCTTAGCGACATTCAAGTCTTGATTATAAATACCCGATTTTGAGCGTGTGAGTCTTGTGGCAGCAGCGGTATTATTTTCGTCAATGGTGCTCGAGGTTATAGTTCGGGAACCTACTCGATTCTGTGACAAATGTTAGACTTGGGGCATTAATACTGGAAGGAATGGAAAGTCATCTGGAAGCAGAGATTTCCAGACTAGAGGGGTTGTTTACCGGTGGCATTTTGATGCTTTCTTGTGGAAGTTTTATGAGGACCGGTAAATTACGTTATGATCTAATAGTTGTGTTAGCTGTATTGCAGTAGAGAATTTGTTGACACGCGTAAAATTCGAATTCAATCGGTAGGGAGACGCGATGATAAAGTTTTAGTTTGTGTAGAGCGGATCAAACACGAAAGTGTTGGTGATACAGCCGTGGAACGCGTCAAATACATTATTTATAATGCGAATAATTTTAGGAAATTAGGTTTTTGCTTACCAGAGACCATAAGTTAGGAACTGAATAATGGGCTAGTCACGCTCAAAAGTTGCTGTATGAACTTTCCTACTACTTGAATGTAAAGCCAGAAGCGACTTTGACACCGAGGTTATAAGGAACTGGAGAGTGATGAATGTTCTAGGCCAGGTGAGAAGGAAACTTGTGGTGATGATTTGTGGTTTAAAATGTTCCTCTGGGGAAGAGAGGCCTATGAATGGTTGATTTTCGCTTGTTCGTCACCTTAGCGTGCAAGACCCGCTCCAGATGCAAGGTTAGTTCGTGCCACAGTGTTGAAGCTTTGGAAGCCAACAAAGCTCACAAATACGAGAAAATTAATTAAATAATTTAGCACCATCCTGAATATGATATACAACACAGCGAATCTATAAAATCCCAAGAGTCTCTTCAACATCATCACTGATTTGAGGCTGTAGTTGCTATTACAGTACTCAAAGTGGTAGGTGCACTCTGTTGACACATAGCAACGGCAAAGCAACGACGCTGATCATGAGCCACTGTGGCTCATTTCCTGTGGCTCAATTTCAAGGCCGAGAATCTGAACGCACTAAATGACTAGCGCTTTGCGCACCATGCAACGCTTTATCTAACGAATATCAAATCCGCCTCGAAAACAGAGTGCCGCTCATGCATCAACAGCGCCTTCGACATACAATGCTATTTATAAAACTTCCATCACATATTAGCCTCAATGTAAAGAACAGTCATGTTACGTTTCGTGCCTTCGCCACAGCGGTACAGGGAGGACCAATCATCACTCCGAGCGCTAACATACCTAATTTTGCACCGCCGGCGTTTAACGAAAAAAATGCTACCTTTGAAATGAAAACATACAAGCCTCGCACACCCGGATTGCGTCACTTGAGAAGGCCGATAAATTTTCATCTCTGGAAAGGAAGACCATTTCTCCCTCTCACCTTCACCAAGAAAGGACACGGAAAAGGAGGTAGAAACAACACAGGACGTGTGACTGTTAGGCATATGGGAGGAGGTCATAAAACTAGGATCCGAACTGTAGATTTTAAGCGTGCAACACCAGGTCCACATACAGTTGAACGAATCGAGCACGATCCTGGTCGGAGTGCTCATATTGCCCTCCTCAATGAGGAAGCCACAGGCCGTAAGAGCTACATCCTAGCAGCCGAGGGTATGAGATCGGGAGATGTAGTTCAAAGCTATCTTGCAGGAATTCCAAAAGACCTATTGGATAGTATGGGAGGTGTAGTCGATCCTGGTGTGCTGGCAGCTAAAACAGCCTGGAGAGGTAACTGCTTACCATTACACATGATACCTGTCGGAACCATTATTTATAACGTCGGGTCTCGAAAGGGCCATGGTGCCGTATTTTGTCGAAGTGCAGGTACTTATGCAGTAATTGTATCTAAGAGCGACGAAACCAAGTCGGATGGAAAGAAATTTGTTGTGGTGCGTTTACAGAGTGGAGAAGTTCGACGTGTGAGCAGAGACGCTTGCGCAACTATTGGAGTGGCTAGCAATCCGCATCATCAGTACGCACAACTTGGCAAAGCTGGAAGATCAAGATGGTTAAATATAAGGCCAACTGTAAGAGGTGTTGCTATGAATGCTGGTAAGATTTTTGAAGTTCTTTAATGAAGTTTATGATAACTAAATTTTGACAGCGGATCACCCTCACGGTGGTGGACGAGGAAAGTCGAAAGGAAACGTGAACCCAGTGAGCCCATGGGGGCTACCTGTTAGTAGATAACAACCTTACAAATTTTGAATAATTCTAACCCTGCTCACAGGCTAAAGGAGGTTATAAAACTCGCAGAGTTAGGAATCCTAACAAGTGGGTTGTAGTGCCTAAGGTTAGAAATCAGGGCAAGCGAAGAGAATGTTAGCCGTATCTGAGTTAAATCTACATCGGTATACCTTTTACTTCTCCGTTAGAGTTGTCAGCGTGTAGCCAAAGTTATCTGGCTACCCAATAAGAAGGTTACATGGGGCACTTAGCGTCACATAACCCCACATCTTTACAGCTATAATTATGGCTGTATCACATTCACGAAGTATAGTATTTTGGTACTATTGTAAGAGATTAAAACGCTTCTCGACCACGCCAAAAATCGAATTGCGGCTTCGAACAATATAGTCCTAAAACTTGCACGAAATGAATGTCAAAAATTTGAAGGAAAAATATTTATCTCGATCCAACAAACTATATTTTGGCTTTATATCAACTATTTTCATGTAGCTTTCAAGACAGGCTTATCCAGAAATTCTCAGTCAATAATGATGGGTGCACTTAATTGGTAAAGTTCCCAACAATAGAGACATAATTGACGATAGCCAATTTTGTAAGAAGGTAAGCTTACTGCTAATGTCAGTTTATCTATGAATTATTTTATGTGGAGTGCTATTATAAAGATATGTTGTAAGTGATGTCAAATATATTACAAAATCTTGTTGAATACTAGTCTTACAAGAAAATATTTAGCTAAAATTTCAGTCAAACTCATCCTCACAGTGATCCGGGTAAGGTTAGGCGCAGGTACAAAAATTGATGCTTACAGTGCCTTGGATCCGTCGAGAATAAAATGAAATTGTGGAGATTTTCAAATAAAATATAAATCTAATAAGCTTAAAATTCGGGTGTTTCAATTACCAGCACTCTCTACCCTGCCCCACTCTGATATGTAATTTGTATAGGCTCGTGTATATGCTAAAAGATCTAATTACTTTCTAGGAATGTGAATACTAATTTCTATCCGAAAAGATGATAGTTGAGCACGTAGATTTCAAGTCCCTCGTAAATCTAGTTTCTCTATCTTACATTCTTACCCTTTAACCCTCTGGATCTGATTGGAAAAAACGGTTGAGAAGGCCATCCCTTCATTTACTTCCTGGCATAAATAGTGGTTAATACTACAATTACTTTGTATGGTGGGTTGTATACTTTAAAATCATAGTCCAATTCTGCCATTGGAGCTTGTATCCACTTCATGGCCATTATGCTTCCATCAGATTTTAATTTCGTATGCAGCTTTCTAGCCATGACACAATTTCAAAGGAAAAGTTCACAACAGATGACTCAAATCAAATTCTGAACACTCATGCCCCGGATTTCGTTTGTAAGTATAACTGCGGAGTTAAGGTAGCCTTTTCCTAACCCCAAATCAATCCTTATCTGTGAATACCTGTTGGAACAGTATTTTTGTTTTGTTCATTAACGTGCTAGGTTACATGACTACCGTTCCACTCCTATTGGAGCTTAAGCATGGGTGGGGTTGGGCTGGATCAGGTTAACTACCGTGAAGTACAGATAAACCTCGTCCTACTTTAATGACCGGACCACCTCAGACTTCACCTATGTGTTGAATCATACCAAGCCTAACCGTCCAGAAACCCGCTGTATACACGCCGTAGCGCAATTTCCTCCTCAGCCTCGGCCACCACGCGCCCGAGCCCTTGACATCCTCATTGACTCTGAAATATAAATGCAGTCAAAGATCTCATCGTTGCTCTAGCCTTGCACCTTCATATCGTACCGTTGGGTTATTATCGTCATTGGGGATTTGTATAATACCCTCAGTATCTTCCCTTTTCTTCGTCCTTTGTACACGTCCCGTTTCCATCATGACTTTCCTCATTAGGGCGTGTGTAGGTAGGTGATGTGACGAGTATGGAGGTTGGTCGCAGGTATAGGATCGACTGAGAAATGCTTCGTCTCAAATATAAAGGGAGTTTGAGAAATGTCGGATGTTTGAATACGACCCCCAGACAGACCTAAATCCATTCGTGAATCGTATGTTAGTGGTGATGAGTTTTTGTTCAACTTTGTTCCGGCTGTGAAATCTCTGCCGACTGATTTTTCGACCAAAATATGGAGTGCAACTCCTTCAAGTCGAAAATCCATCAAATGTAATTCATCCCAACCTTTGTCGTGACTGAATCTCAGCTCTGGGAGAATATTTCGCTCCCAGGTTCGTAGAGGGCACCACTGACAGATATTCAGCCTTCGCCCTCCATTGCAACAGTAGTCATGTGCACTCTAGTAATAGGTGGAATATGTATTAACCTATTGTAGCAGTAGTGCAACTTACGTAATATTCTCTTGGCATTCTTACATGACACCAAGAGGATTAGAACAGATAGATAGTATGAATATATGTGAATGTTATTATATCGTTTTATTGAATCTATTTATTGCCTTTTATTTATGCGCGTATACCGTATTGTGCCAACAATACCCACCTAGAAGAAGTCTCAAAATCTCAGAGTTATCTAGTCCTGCCTCCATCACCAATTGGCTTTACTCGGCGCGAGATGTCTCCTTTCCAAGTGGAGTGGATGCCCAGGCTATTCAAACTATACCAGAGAACACCACTAGGAGCCTGACCACGGCACCTTCCCTCGTTTGCTTTTTTTTTAAATCACTTGAGTGTATTCAACTATAGAGCTATGACACATGACCGGTGCTATGTTTACATATTGGATAACTCTTTTGACGTTGGAGACACTCATACTCCAGATTTCATTCGCAAATACCACTATGAGGTATGTTAACTTACACAAACAGTCGACCCTCCTCCGTGAGTAACCACCGAAGGAAAATTTTAAGACGTTTAATTTTGCAAGCATGCCTCTGTCAATAATGCGTACCAGTGCCGCGAGAATTGTGGTTATGTTTTGCCGGATTAGAACTTACGGTCTTTTGTCTCAGGTGGGGTGTGTGTCCAAGCTGTTTAGACTTTGCTTCAGAGACCAGCCAATATGATGCATCACGGTATCGGAGCTCTTACTGTGGTAGGCATGAGATTGGGGTTATGACTTAGGCGCACAATTGGATATAGATAGTATTGAGGCTTCGGTGGCGTCCATAGATATACATAAATATACACATCTGAACCAGCCACCATTTCTGCAGTAACAACCCTATTTTTTTTATTCACTTTATTGTCCTGTCTGAGTCTATGACTGTGTTGGACATGCAGGTCCTCTCTGCGGATAGACCAAGGATACCTATACCAGTAGTATATCCCCTCCTATGCCTTACATACAGCTCCCCTCAAACAGTACCACCCCTCACAAGTCCTCATTCGATCATACACTAAGAGGAGCCCTTTGCCCTTCGTTATTTCCCTCTCCAGCCAACGAAACGATGGCCATTTGCGGGTGTATGGCAGCCGGGAAAAATGGCAAAAACCACTGGGTGCGGAGCTCTCCTAATACCGACATTAGGACTAAATCCGAAGACAAAGTGACCCTTCTGATGCGTTCGAAGAGGCCGGCCAGCTGGGCGCTGCAGACTTGTGGGTGCCTCGGGAAATTTAACCTCTGCCTTTCTAGCCTCCTTCCAACTCCTTCCCGAAGGTCGTGCTGAAATGTCAGAAAAGTCTTGACCGAGCGTGATTGCTGTATAGTAGCTTAGCCTAATTTCTTTTGTACCGTCCAAGGCGCTGGGGAGTGCCGTTGACTCATCAACAAAAGAAGCCCTCCTGGCTAATTAGCCGAAATCTTAGTCTTGGCGCCCACAAAAAATCCAATGTTGAAAACTCCTCGAAAATGATAGTCCCAGCATGGTCTTCAAAGACCTCTTTCCCGTCTCGCTCCACATCTCAGCCGCTTGTTCTTCCTCAAGATGTATAACCCCATCAGAGCTGCAGTCCCCCATAAACCAAGACCCCAACTTTGTATTTTTCGACTTGATTTCCTCCTTGCGGGTATACGTAGCGTCGTAAATATGTAGAGAGTGATGGCCGGTAATGAATGAGGCAATCTCCTGGTTGCAATTGGGGTGACGCCTTTATCGGTCGTCGAGGCGAAGTGATATGTGGTTAGATCGGGGTCGAGGACTCAGAAGATAATGATGAGTGCTGCATGATTGAGAAGTCGTCAAATGGAGATATGCATGTGTTTGCTTCCGACTTCGATTCGGATGCGATTCTTCTTGGCTATCCCAGATATGCAGAGCATACTGAGCGATTACACCGGCACCACTGGAAGGTGAAGAATTCGTCTTTGCCGGCGAGTTTTCTATGATTTCTGTGTTGGGATACACTATGTCGATCCTACTAGGCTCGATAATTAGTAGTCCCGACCGACTGGTGTTAGGCGAACGGAGATTGCGTATACCCTGTGCTAGCGTTGTTTACTGCTGTTAATAGGAGATCCCGCACGGGCTATCTATTGAGGTTAAAAGGAGTCTGGTACCTGTGTTTAATAGAGTAGTCGAATTGACATCCTTTTATCCTTCATTATTGCATAAACTTCCCTTTTCCAATAAAGTCCACGAACTAAGTAGTGGGTTATACATTTCAAAAAAGCTGAAATTTTTTCTAATTCATATTGTATCCAGCTATAGTTACGGCCTCGCCTCAACCTGGCCCTAGGTACAATAGCGTGAGTACATGTGGTACGTGCACGTTAGCATATAGTCCCTGTCCGCCTCTAGATATATGTAATTCATTTTACCTGATTCGGCGCCTTGAGGCCCATGCAGGTTTTATCGGAAGTTATGTACTTCAAGTAGGACGACTCAATTTGACGATTAGAACTCTTACACTCAGATTTCATTTGCAGATACCACTCGAGGTTAACCCTTACGGCGTATAACCTCTTCCGTGCATACCCACCACAGGGAAAAGCGTGCAAAACCTGTGGCTATCCGAGTGTGCTTACATCATCCCACAAGTACAATATCACCGCGAGAGAGGGTGGTGTGTGAGTATGACTGGGTTCGAACCAGCTCTCTCCTATCTCGAATGGGGTAGGTATTCAAGCTACCCAGTATCTACTTGGGAGAACGGCCCGGATGGTGTACCACTGCACCATCCGACCCCGCCTCTAGATATTCTCTCCTTATAGCCAATCTACTTCTTTCATCTCTTTTTTTTTTTTTTGCATCAGATTTAAATTGCGTATACAGCTATCTAGCTATGACACAATATCAAAGAAAAGTCTAGAATAGATGATTCAATTTAAAAGTAGAGCACTCATGCCTCAGATTTCATTTGCAAGTACCACTGTGAAGTTTTGGTGGCTTTTTCTTCACCCCAAGTCAACCCTCATCCGTGAATACCTACCCAGGGGAACATCTTAAAAACCCTGAGTTATCCAGACATGCCTCCATCATCTTTCAACTTTTCTCCGCGCGAAATATGGTCTGAGATGTCTCCTTCCCAAGTGGAGTAGGTGCCCAGGCTACTCAAACTATACCGGAGAACACCACCAGGAGGCGGACCACAACACCTTCCATCGTTTGCTTGTTTTTATAGTGTCAGCTGCACTCTCGCAAGCGAAGTCTTGGCGCGCACAAAGCTCAATTCGTAAAACTCTTTCCAAAATTCGAAATTTCACGCCCGTCGAGAATGTATCCCTCTTCTGCATCATCTTGTAAACTTGTCCTGATCCCTCTCACGTCCGTCCCAAAGAGCTATCTCCCAAAATTGTGCTCCACACTTTGCTTCCTCCGTCGGGTGTAAATATCGGCGTGGGCGTGTATTTGGTGACCGGCTGAGGCCAGAGAAAGTCGACGAGAGGTGTGGTCATTGAAACGAGGATGTATTAAGTCGTACTTGTAGACTTGATGAAGCTTAGTTGAGAATCGGACTCTTTTGGAGTGAAAGATTGACATGGTGGAGTAATTTGAATTTTTGCCTTGTGGGCCAACTTCTTTGATATTGCGAAATTTGACTGAACTTGGTTCTGGAGAATATTTCACTCCCAGGTTCGTAGAGGACACCGCGTACAGGTGTTCAGTCTTGCCCTCCTCTTTCATCTCTACATTAGAGCTGCCTTCCTGCTAATTCCTCTTCTCGTGATTGCTATTAAGCTATGACAATTTACTTACAAATTTATCTAACAAAAAACAAACAAAAACAAAATAAATTCTTCCAAATTTTTGTACTATAGTACATCTGTTCCTCTCATATTCCCAATGTTTGTTTGCCTAATATATTTCCTTTGTGTATTGATATACACTTGGAAGTTTTCAAAAATTGTAGTAAGGCCTCCCTTGCTAAGCTGAATTGCTATTCACCATGAGCAACATATCAATGATCTTTGAAGTAACAAAGGAGGACAGAAGCACTGTACAAGGTGTGGCCTGAATCAGAGAGGAGCCCAACTTGTTAGATAGTAATAGTCCCAAGTAGCAAAATTAACTCATACATACACAAATCCACTTTGAGAAGAGTTAGTAGGTGTTAGCCCCGCACTGTTAATGCCATTCCATTTGCCGTGATGTGAGATGGTTGGTCATATCCAGTGAGGTTCAACCAAAGGTCGCGCGATGAGCATGTACAGTTCGATATAAGGCAGCTTGGATAATTCTATATGCGTGATCTCTGCTTCGATAGAAAATCACGGATAACGAGTTAATGGATTGTTTGGCCAAGCAATCTCTTCGACAATATTTTCCAATAAATTCATGATGAATTTCAAAAAATGAATGCAGTCGTTGCTAACATAAGAGTTTGACCGCGAGCCGTGGCGAGATAGATTAAAATGTTATTAATAATTTAATACACGAGAATTTTTGCTAAACGAATATAGAGCAAGCGTTATTCATGTGAGAGCCTCGGCGCGCTAGCCCAGACTCTATGCAGCTATGACGTTCATGTAAGTCTTGACTTGTTTGGAAGCCGGTAGTTGGCACTAGTGGCTTAACGGCATCCAATAAGTTTGAAGACATGTTACAGGGGGGTCTGGGGTATACCGAGCCCGTAGCGGAGGCTCCTGATACATTATTTCCGAGACAATGGCATTGCGCAAATTATAAGCTACATAAGACTTGAGCGAGTTATTTGGTATGGCTTGCACAAAGAGACTGTCAAGCTTAAGTCTCTAATCTGTAAAAGGATAGTGGGTAATTTTCCAACGTTCATGCTATCGTATTACTAGTCTGTTCGCCTCGTCACATGCAGTCTAAAATCAAGTGTATAGTGTAGAATAAATTAGTCCAACGGGTCGCCCAACTTAGCAATCTCCAACATGCCAGCTGCCAGCTCAGACAGCGGAGGAGGCACAACACTCACCCATGGCCCTTCCTCGGGTGATATGCTTAAAATATACTCAGGGATTACGGCAACAATCAATATCCCTGTTCAGCTAGCCCATGGCCATTACTCAAGTTTTACGTATCTTGAGGGCAGCAGTGATTACACACAGGCCTATTATCCCATCCTACACCCATTACTTCTATCCTCTCATGAGTGGCTCAGTGGGTAAATCTTACCATCAAAAGTCTATGGCTGGATTCTTCAATCTAGATTCCGCTGGTTGCGTTATAACTAATTAGCTTTAAAAAACTATAAAAAGGAGAGAGAAATCGACTAACACACCGAGTTAAAAAAGCTCAACATGGGTTCATAACTTGAATTAATTTTAATCATCTTTGTCAAAGTAAGCTTTGCAGACTGTGAGCTCCATGCGTGTGACAAGATGCCTTCAGGAATCCAGCGTTATTTGATTTGCTTCCACTTATCCACCGTTACTGTTTATTGCACTGTGAATTTGGCTCGAAAACAAGTCTAGTTCTCGTCAATTGCGTGACGCGAAGCATCTAGTTAAATAACCATCACACTAGCATTACCCTGTCAACAATCCAGGTGATCCATGAATTATTTATGGATATTCATGGGTTATTATTCTTCCGAGAGGGGCGATAAGATAGCGGAGATGGAAGAACTATCTGAGACGACAGAAATTTAGACAATGAAGCTTGATTCATACTTCAGTCCCATTTCCAACTAATCCGAATAAATCGTTCATCCCTCACCTACACATCATCCAATATTTTGGGATCCTTGACTTGAGACCTGTGACCAATTAACGGCTGTTACGACTTCACATTTCCTGTCGGAGGTCCCTAACCTAACCCCCTTCGCTGGTGAAACGATATGGCTTTGGGCAATTAAGTCGCCTCAAGTGGTTTTATTCGTCGGGAATATAAATCTCTGCAAATCTGCTTGTTCCAGACAGGGATCCCCACTACTGACTAGAGTGCGAAGGAGCCTTTATAACACACCTGTTTCATCCGACCTATCGAGCGACAAGCTAACTCCTTCATTCCATTATTAGGCAAGGAAACTCGGGAAAGGAAATTTCGAATTGATTTATTGATCTTAATACTGTCATTCAACTATAATATTTTCTCTCTCTCCAACAACAGTTGAACTGTTGTAAAGACAATGAGGCAGAATATCAAATCATCATCAAGTCAGAATGCGAGAGTATCTACAACGCTAATACTATCATATGTTTTCGACTGGGTCATAATATTAACAGCCGCAATGTTCGGCGCATGGTTTGCCCATATGTCTCCAAATAAACGTCCGTTTGCTCTCGAGAATCCAGAAATCTCGTTCCCATTTCAGAACCACGAAAAAGTGCCTACCATGATGTTAGCAGTCTATGCTATGGCCATACCAGCTATTGTCGTCCTCGCGGTATGTATCTTCCTAGTACCTGGCCCAACAGTCTCGAAATCAATACCAAAAAATGTTATTTGGGCTCGGAAGCTCTGGGAATGGCACACCGGGTGGCTTGGATTATTCCTTTCTCTATCTGCAGCCTTCTTAATCACTAGCGGTATGAAAAACCTATTTGGAAAGCCACGACCCGACCTACTGTCAAGATGTGATCCAGATCTGGCAGACCTGCAAAAGTATAAAGTAGGAGGATTCTTTGGGACTGACGTAGTGTCCGCAGAGATTTGTCGTCAGACAGACATGAATATCTTGAACGATGGGTTTCGATCTTACCCGAGCGGTCATTCATCTTTTGCGGCAGGAGGACTTATCTATCTTTCTCTTTTTCTAGCATCCAAACTTGCCATCACCATACCATACCTCTCATCATCTCCATCCTCAATTAATAAGGAACGTTATACTGCTTTTCCCACCTACATAAAGGCCTATACCCGTAACCTAGCCATAGCCATGGATCGGAAGTCTGATTCGACAAACCCTTTTGAACAGTCGGGCCATAATGAAGCCATTATTGGTGCAAGAAACGAAGCTGCAGCGCCCCCAGTATACTTGCTGGTATTTGCAATTATACCATTCTTTACATCAATATATATCTCCTCAACCCGCTATTCTGATTTCCGCCATCATGGCTTCGACATCCTATTCGGTTATCTTATTGGAGCTGTCAGTGCAATATTCTCATTCCGGTGGTACCATCTACCCATCAGTCAAGGGGCAGGTTGGTCATGGGGACCACGAAGCCGAGACCGCAGCTTCTGGGCTGGTGTAGGTGTCGGCAATTATGCTGGTTTAAAAGATGAGGAGGTCGAAGAACCTGAGATGGGTTTGGACTCCGGTCGAAGGGAAAATATCGAAGCCACAAGGGTAAATCGAACGCGAAGCCATGTAAGTATTCCATAGGATTATTCCTACTCCATCAACTACTAACAAATCTTGCAGGATTCGATCGAACTTCTCCCAGTGAAATCTCCGTTTGATAACACCGAACCGGACCTACACCCATCCAAGAATTTATAGTATCCTTTAAACTCGAAATTGATCCTAACATGATATATTTAATGAAAGATTTTATATTTTGAAGTGTTATATAATTAGCGAGGATAGTCTTTTACCCAGGGAGTAGTCGGAGTGAGGATCTGGTTAACGGGAGTTAAAAATTTCTATTTATAAACAACATGACTACCCTTTTCTAGGCAGTCCAAACAATATTTTCAAGGTTTTCGCATAGCTCGGTGTACTAGACTTTTTTCACAGTGAAAGATAAATCTTCAGTTTCAAGAAGCCGATGCTATTTGTTGTAAATACCTAAGTATATAACTTCACACACTCTCAAGGAATAACCGTGCACCGACTTGGCTAGCCCCTAAGAGTCTGACCAGTAATGTTTTGAATTTTACACATCAATAGCAATGTGTTCACTAGACTGATAGTACCTTGCAGATAACTTGGCCCCACAGACAACAACATGTGGAGAAACAAGGATAGGAAATCAGGTAGATAAGGCCTTTTTTCTTCGTTTCTATACCCACAATCCGCAATCCACTTTCAATAAAAAAATCTCTCCCTCATCCTTCTCTACCCGGTGATCTGTTAAATTCTCTCACAATTATCATTATTTACCTCACAATGTGACATCTCTGTCCATCGGTCATAGCATTTCAACATGATTGACTGTTATAATTGTAGATATGGCAATTGTTGACTTTTAAAGATAGACAGTGGTATAATTGAACTCCGGTCCGTTGTTTTATCCATGTTCGTACAATGATTCTCACTTGAGAGGCTATAAGTCTCAACTTGCCGCAATTTCGCTCAGTGAAGTGCTCCCGCTAAATGCAGTTGGTGAAATGGAAAGAAATTTATAGAGAAATTTCCACTATAAGCTTTTAGTGGTTAACTGGGATACATGTCAGAGGATAGCAGTACTACTTGACAACCAAGCAGCTGCCGGGGCTTTGTAGACGGGAAACTCGTCTTCTAGCCCTCGCCCGAGTCGCATCTTTCATGATACTGCGCCAAAAGCTATGGTGGAAACGAAATGGGTGGCATGCCATTCGAAAAGGACGAAGAACGTGGAGGCAGACAAAGTAGCTCGTGCCGCATCAAAATTTGTTGGAGATGGACTGCTTTAGTGTCCAGGTTGGAATTTGCCACATTCCTACGGCCGCTGACATTCCTTGCGACTACGAACTTCCCTCCACACTCCATCCCAAGTTCTTCCCGCGCGCTTGCATGTGCGGTGTAGTATGAAATTGGGCGCAGATGTAGTGCAAGATAACCGTCGCCTTTACATCACGGCAGATGGAATGGCATTAACAGTGCGGGGCCAACACCTCCTCTCTCTGCACCGTGGTTGTGTAGTGAGGTAGGCTGCTAATTTTCCACTGTAGTAATTGGTGTTTGCTGAGCCGCTTCACATCTAAGATTCGCGCACGTAAATTCTCGGTTTACATGTAACATATATCTTCCATGGTAGCGATATTCTTTTAGCCGTGCTTTCGGCTCTCCTCGCCCTGGATTGGCAACAGTCTACGAGTGCTTTGTCCAGCGTTACGCGCTGCGGTCTCTACTGTGTGGAATGATTCGAAGGGCTTTGCCTCACATACGAATGTTGCCTTGACATGTGTACGGTACAAGCTCTCGTCAGTGCATGTCGCACGACTCCCTCGTGCACGCCCTCAGGCATATGGATGCGCAGGGAACGTGACGGCAACCAGATCGGGCTTGTTTTTGTTTTGTTCATTAATCTGAAGAAGAATACGTGGGACACGGTATTACGTTGTAAATGTTGACTAGAGAGCCCTACTGCTACGGATGAAATCTATGTAGTGATAGCCAGGTCATGTGGCCTGACTAGCTTAGTTTACATGAGTAGGTGAAATACTGTCCCTAGATAATTAACGTGCTAGTTACATATCACCCATCGCACTCCTACAGTACCTTTCACTTCTCCTCAGGGGGAAGGAGGCCCTGCTACAATATTTGGATACATCCGAGTGCATGGCAGCACATAAAGGAAGTTAAATTAGGAGAAATAATTGAGAAATAATGTATTTGGAATGGATGTATAGTTATTAGTCAGGAAAGGAGTCTTAGATTTATAAGTTAAAAATTTGTCATAGCTAGATATCTGAATACACTATGAATTAAAAAAAAAAAAAGTACCTTTCGCACGAGTCGGGCCGGGCGAGATCAGGCTGACTACTGTGTGTTCAGGTCACGGGATACTACGTTGAGAAGGCCAGTGGGATCCATATTATGTAATCAGGAATTAACTTGCCCGGAATACAGTCAGACCCCTGTTAAGACGATACTCGTTAAGACGATATTTTTTCCCGAACGGACTTCGTTCCCATACATTTACCGATTACACGATTATCGTTCTTCAACCTCTGAGTATCGTCTTAACCAGGGTTTTTTTTTGCTAGATTGGTGCTAAAAACTCCGCCAAAAAAAGGGAGTTTCTATGGAGCAACGATATTCTCTGTATGACAATATTTTTCACGGGCCCGATTACATCGTCTTAACAGGGGTTTGACTGTACTGGAATTTTCCTGTTAGGATCAGGCAGAACAACGAACGATTCACATCTGCCCAAACGAACTCCATGGGCATTCTGTGATAAAATTTACAGGCGTGCTTCGAGTCTCTATTCACCGCAAGCCACTCCACAACCCTTACGCTCGACTACAGCCGCCGTTTCCAACACCTCGATGCTCTCTTGACCTGCAGCTGCGGACGAGAAAAGTCACTTGACCACTTCTTATTCTGTCGACTTGGGCGTGGCCGATCACGACTGCACGGCGGACCTCGACATCCCGACCTTGGAATTCCCTGGCTTCTAAGCTCTCCAGAAGGGGCTATCGCCTTCAGCAAGTAGGATCACAAGACGAAGTTTTTCGAAGAGACTCATTCTCGCTCCATACTACCTATTTAGCGGGACTCAACCACTTGCTTGTAGCTCTGTCTGTATCGGTGGTAGAATGTTTCTCCTCTTCAGCATGTAGATTTACATTATTATTCTGTCTGCGTTGTAGTTAACAGAAGGTCTAGAGGAAGGGCGCTCTAGGTGTATTTTTAGTTTGGGGCACCTGGCAGGAGGGCCAGAGCCCAGTTAGTTTATGCCGGGATCTTAGGAGCGTCGGCACGTCGGGTGGTTTTTCTAGACTGAGCTAACCGGCATGTGACCTTGTGAAACGTGATGCGCGCTGGCACGATGTAAAATAATTAACAAAAACCAGCGAACCTTCACGCTAAAATGCACACTACTGTGAAGCACCGATATGTCTCGTCACAACTAAATATTCGAACCACCTCAGACTACACTTACGTGTTGAATCATACCAAGTCTGACCGTCCCGAAACCCGCTGCATGTACGCTGTAGCGCAAACCCCTCTTCAGCTTCAGCCACCACGCGCCCGAGCCCTTGACATTCTCATTGGCTTCGAAATATAAACAACGTCCAAGATCTCATCGTTTCTGCAACAGGACTACCGCCTTGTATAGTTAGATGATGATGATTTTAATTAACGTCTACGTCGATAATCATATGGCCTAGAGCAAGTGATATCTATCCCGCTCGGGACAAAGGACGCTAGAGCCGAAGCTCTAGAGTTTAGGACTTAACTAAGTCTAATCTAAGGATACGAATTACAATGCTATGCATCGTTTTCCGAAACTGTAGACAGGAGAAAGTTACGCTATGAAGCAGAATGATATACGACTCTTCCTCTAGTCCATGCTAAATAGATGGCCAATCTTCCATGCCTTTCCAAATTTATAATGTTTAAACAGATATAAAGTATTTTCCTCATCAAGGACAAATGTTTTCAAAAAACTGTGTCTGTGCCAGCCTCTCAGTTAAGATTTTAGCTCATTCTTGGGTGCCTAGTAGGCTAATACGGAGCTGATTAACAGGCCCTGTAGGGTGGCTATTTCGCCGACGGAGAATACGACATAGAAAATGCGTGGGCATTTTTTGCAATCCACAAAGATAGCTCAGCCTGGCTTCTTCATGTTTAAAGCGCTTGTGATAAGCTGCAAAGTCTCCATGACTAGTCCTAGCTGCTATTATCTGACCCAGGGCTTTCCGACCTAATAAAAGCTCCTTTGGAAGGTGTGGAACGGTCTTAATTTCTAGTTGAGCATATAAGTTTGGGATGTGCGTGGACCACCAATTATTCCGGGTTTCCATCAGCTTTGTGGAGTCCCATTCCAAAAGTGAGGTAAAAGAATACTTAGGTGAGTGTTGGTAGGGCATAGCTGCTCCTTTTTTCGCATCAATCAGCTTGTTGGTTACCTTCAATTCCTGTATGTCCAGGAACCCAGAGTATATTCATCTGCCCTTCCTGGGTATGAGGTAGTCGCTTTCTCGATTTCAATTCCTTAGCTACCTCTTGGGAGTCTGCAAAAATTGATTGTGATGACTTTGATGGTAACGTGGTAAGCAATTTTATCCCTACTTCTATGTTATCTATAAATATCCATGCGTCGTTTGCTAAGCGAGCTGAGGGGAGTTTAGTAACAGCATGAATTTCTTGGAGGGCAGCGTGGGCTTCTGCATCATATGAATCTTAAAATTTTCAAGTGGGGATGCTTCAGAGCAGACTCTAATTCCAAACTAGAATATAACATATCTGCCACCTGAGTTACCATCAGTGAGCTTTGATCCATGTTATGACACGCTAGTTATGGCAAGCAAGTACTCAAGATTTAAGAGGTAATAAAGCTAAAGGGCAAAGCTCTGCATACAAGTTACATATGTAATGAGATTGGAATTAAGCGAGTATTAGTAAGGATGTCATCAGTGCTTCCATAACGCTAGACTGCCGTAGGTACCTGAATCCAACTCTATACCTGTTTACCACAGCCCGAGCCACTTAACAATCCATCCGGGTAAATTTGGATGTCCCTTCCAGATAGAGTGCTCAAGAAGTTGCAGAACCTGCTAACACTTGTATTTATTGGTCCCAAGGGACCATTGATACGAACTAGTTAGTATTTTTTGGTCTCTTCA